GTAAAACAGCAGTTAACAAAACATCAAGTCAAAACAAGTTATTCTGGGTCAGCTCTTGAGGAACGCTGATGTTAATATGCATTTCAAATAAACAAAAAAAAACTCTTTCGGGCATTTGAAGTGCTCCGCTAGAATTGAACGTGGTTGGGGTGCTGCTCCACATTTCCTCTGTCGAATAGCCCGCGTAATTCCCGATTCCAGCGAATCTTGTTCTTCAATTTCGCATGCGTTGTGTCTTTAAACGGTATCTTTCGTGGATGCACTTGCATTTACTGGAAACAATTTATGCCGGACGAGCCATGGTTTTCACGCTCTCATTCCGAGTTGCCAACTTTTATAGGGCAACAAGATCCATCTGCTCTGAGAGCTTGCTGCGGATGCATCTTAAAGCATTCTTAATAATGGCACGGATGACAGTAATCGTGTTTTTGCTTTTTGTTTGCAGATTTTACACATAAGCCATAAAAGAGAAGTCTACAGTGGGTGAGGGCATTTACAGCCTTTCATCTGATTGTGAGATTGTATGTACATATATCGAGCTCGCAGTGAGTGATATAATGCGAATCATCTCCGATCTTCTCTAGGCTCCAATGCTAAGGCTGCTCGAACTATATGATGATCTGAGCCAATATAAAAGTACGATTCTCTTATAACTGTCACGTTTCGAAAAGTCTCGGACAATTCTTCGAAATGAAATTGATTGTATGAGAGATTGCTTGCTTGGAATAAACGAAGTCATCTTCAACTACGTTCTTGACACTTTTGAAAATTCGCATGCATGTAGGCGAAGAAAAGCCTATAATTATGATGCAGCAGCAGCTACTAATATCAACTCCGTCCACTGAGGTCAGTTAGAGCATTTCCGTGATTGTTTTTCAGGGCTCATGTTGTTTCACAGATTTCTCTCAATTTTACTTTGACCTCGACCGCTCACACCGCTCACAATACATTGTTTCGCAAGAAGCTGTTCAATGCAATTCAAGCTCAACGAGCTTGACAAGCTTGAAAACGCAATTACCAACTTTTTAAAAGGCAAGGTATCGCATTTTATAAAGAATTCAAAGCCCGCTGGGTACTGGGTGCACGTAGAGAAGTTTGTGTGCCGTGTATGGCTCTAGCTCTAGCTTCATTCTTTGAATGGAGTCGACTAACAGTGGCCTAAGTGCTTCCAATATAGCATAGTCGTAGGCGCAAGAAGAAGCGTAGACTAATGGCTTTTCTATCGTGTTAGCCCTATGTAACCCGAGTGAGAGCAAAGTAATGCTTTCAAGGAGTTAATCAGTTGTAATCCGCGGTGTGGAAAACATTAATCACAAAAATTTCGTGTTCTTTCAAGTTGAAAAGCAGAAGTGTTGATGTAGAGTGGTGCATCTGTGCCTAAGAGAGCGCTTACTTCTTACTTCGTGAAGAATAAGGTTCTTTCGAAGAAGTGGAAGTAGAAGATGTGCGAGATTACCATAAGGGTAGTGGCATGTGGGGGTGCTTGCAGGAGCTTTCACTTTCTACAATCGCGCAAAGAGATGAATACATCAAGCCGAAACGGTTCAAAATTGCTCTTCACTCTTGCAGTGGGTTATGGCGAGCCCATACAACGCTGCTGAAACTCGTCCGCTATGGGTGTGGCGTATATATACATATATATATAACGCGACTCAGAAAGTCACTGCGTGCAAACAACAGTCAAGAAAAATACCCAGTTCATTAATCACGGTGAACTGCAAACGTAAGCAGAACATCCTCGTTGATGACAGAAGGCAAAAAGCCACGTGACCTTTTGCTTTATCCATCAACAGAGTGATGCTAGACGACAGAAGCAACACACATTTTCGTGACAATTAATGATACCAATTTCCTGATGAATTTGACTTCGCAAGGCTCTAGTATGCGAGACAAAAATTGTTTGTGAAGGAACAGTTTGAAATGAGATTTGCATTTTCAGTAGATCTACTACGCTTACCAGAAAAAAAATCAATTCACTTTTCATCCCTAACGAACGTTTCTCTGTGAAAATATGAACTCGCGACAGTCAGAGCGCTATGCCTAATCCATTTTGATTCGTGATAATTCTGTTGGGAGAATCCCCTGCACCCTCCGATAAACTGTCCGCTTTTTCAGGATTGCGCTAATGTCACTTGTTATGTTTCACCTTCACCATTCTTTCAAAGACCACCAGATCTTTGATAGGCTTTTGTCAACCGGATGGGAAATCTATTCTCACTTTCTCTCCAAATCTCTTCCTTGTCTACATCTCCGTATCATACATCTGAGCTACTGCTTATTTCACTAGTGGAATGCTACCTCTTGATCAGAAGCCTTCTAAAACTCTACCTGTGCAGGCGCTCGTTTGTTTCTTTCAAATAATTCGAGATTCGTTGAACTTGCTCGTCAGAACCGCTCCGCCTTGCTTCCACTGTCCCGAAGTAGCTCTCGCCTAGCCTGCTTGACATACACCCTTAGGAATGGTGACTTGAGAACCACACGTCGTCTTCCAAAAACTTTCCCATGTAATCATCATTCTCTTTTCAGTGCATTTTTCAGCTTCCACTACACTTCTCGGCATGACAAATCTAAGCTCTATCCTGTAGCGACGGTAAAAAGAATTGTTGAGGTACATGGGTCAAACCATAGACGTACGAGATAGGGGTGGCAAGAAAGTTTTGCGACAAAAACTCAAACTGTTGAAAGTTTCGGTTAAAAACAATGTGAACGCGGTAGCACAGCTGATAACCTAATGGGGCACTTAGCTGGCAATCAAAACATGACTAAATAAGGACACGCAAGTAGGCTTTTGCAGCATTGCCGCCACTGAATGGACAACATCTGATTCGTACCATCACCTTCTTGCATGCATTCCAAGGGAGAAACGCGTATGCAGCGATTTAAATTACCAGCAACCTATTAGGTGCTAGCACTGCTCATCGTTCAACGGTCAACAATCGGTGGGATCGCGCCACTACAGGAGTTTCTACTCTTCGAAGTGATGCAAGCATCGTACCATGTTTTCTATGATGTGAAAGGACTCATCCATTATGGGTTGCTAAGCACAGCCGAGTCACAACCCTGTGAAGTCCATTGTTCGGCAAACGAGGCGAGAGAAAAAGTTTGAAACCATGGTTTTTGGTTCCTACAAAGGAACAGCGCGAGTCGGAATTTTGCTTTAAACGCCTGCCAACCTTTCTCCAGACCCGTTTCCTTCCTGGTTGTTCACCGGACGTACTCATAGTTGTTATCCCTTCTCACTACCTTGAGTTTTGCCTTATCAAGCGCCTCTTTATGGGAAAAAAGTGCATAACTTAACGTGATCTGCAAATGGCAGCCGATGATTTCTTTAGCCATAGCTTCTTGACCTCTAGACAAAAGCATCAGTGTGCAGCTTAAAGGATAAGAGAGAGTTGTTGATCGCTCTTTGAATATATTCTCAGAATCTGATTGATCTGAAAAAATGGTTTCCTGCCAACTTACATTACATTTGGTGTGCTATCGGAAACTAATAAGGATTAGCTTAATATTCTAGACGGTAGTTTTACTGGCATAGATTGACTCGTGTTTTAATTGATTTTCCATTATTTCTAATCCCACACAGCGCAACGTTCTTTAGGATTCATCGGAGTGCCGACCGCACAGTTGAAGGCTTCAGCAAACTCCGGCTGATTGGCGAGCACTTGATTAGCCCAGAAAGAAAGGTGAAAATGAGGCCGAGAAAATTCACTGATGTGCAACGAAGCAAAGATTTACCAAGTGCAACAAGGCAACACTACGTTGCACTACCACGACCTCTATCCTACTTATACAATCGGCTAAGTGTGTCTGTTGGTGTGTTTGTGTGTTTGTGTGCGTGTGTGTATATGTGTGTGTGTCTGACCGGAAATTCATAACTCCCGTCCCCATGGACCGAAAGCGTTCAAATTTGGTAGGAGTACAGGCGGCAGGATGGGAACACTTATAATGGGTGGCAGGACTGGACTCCTCCCAAAGGGGGCGGAGTTTGCGAGAAATAAATGTTTGCGCGAAAATTCAGAACTCATGTCCCCGTGATCCTAGAGCACTCAAACTTGGTAGGAGTACGGGCGGCAAGATAGGAACCTAATAGTGGGTGGCAGGACCAGACCCCGCCCATAAGGGGTGGGGATGGCGCAAAAATTTTTAATTTGGCCTTAGAGCGTTCAAACTTGGTAGGAGTGCAGGCGGCAGGATGGGAACACTTAGTATAGGTGGTAGGGAAGGACCTTGCTCACAGGGGCGGGGCTTGCGCGAGAATTGACAATTTGGCCGTAGGGTGTTCAGTGTATTCCAATTGCACGAAAATTTCAAGGAGGCACTCTTCCTTGGCCCATCTGTCTTTTTTTTTTCTCTGAATAATCGCCTCTGTGATATTATACGATGTTCTTGCCGGACACAGCGAAGATGGCTTTCAGAAAAAATCGCTCCCAATTCGGAGCTAATACTGAGGGTGTAGAGCTTTAAAGGAAAAAGGAGAATCCAAAGAGTTACGCACAGCAAATTTCTTACAGGAAGGAGGACCGCCCGGCTTCGCCGGGCGTCACCATAAGAAGGAGGGAAGCCCGGCGTTAGCCGGGCGGCCCGACTGGTACAACTTGAATCTAATAAGGTTGTGTTTCTGTGCAAGAATAGAAACCCATACGGTATTAGCACTATATCTATAAATGCAGTTTTCCTGCTGTTTGTGATATTAAACGTCTTCTAGCGAGACGCCCCAAGAGAGCGCAGAGCACTGGATCGATGGCAGCAGCTAAAGAACTTCTCTTATTCGCGCGGCTGCCATTGACCATGCTAATCGTGTCACAAGATTTAGTGAGGTATCGCGGTAGGAAAAATGACGTTATTCTTTGATTCATCGGCTCAAGGAGGCATTCTATGCCACGAGATAGATGCGGTAATCAAAGTATCCAGAGTAAGTCTATGAGAAGGCTTCAAGAGCATCTCAAATACTCTACGACTAGGCTATCGTCATTCTACTAGGGAGACATACCCAAGAGGGAGGTTGTCAAGAGCGATACTATCTTGCCTGAATTTGTGTGAGTCTCGTGAAGAACTTTAGGAACTACTACAGCAGTACAGTCATATTCATGGAAATGCGTATTTAGAGAGCATTCACCATTTGATCCCATTCTTATACACTGTAATAATTTGTAAGCCCCTATGGCGTCAAGGAAACCGCGAAGACGGTGAGCAAAGACGAGTAGACATCCAATTCACACTGTGCATGTGAGTGCTGATAAGTTATGGGTTAAAAGCCTCGAGAAGGTCAGAAAAGGCGGTCTTGAGGCCCTGAGGTAAAGTCCTACGCCACTTGGAAAGTACAAGTGTACGAATCTTGTTTGAGTATTACGAACGAGTAGCAATTTTTTAGTGGCTTTCCCATGGCATACAGACTGGCAGACATGGCAGGAGTCAACAAAAGCATAAGTCCAAGACGTAAACAACATTTTTTAAAATCTTTCAAAGCACCATCGGCAACGGTCCCTCATGCTTTCGTAAATATTTCCTCTACGCCACCTTGTTGACCTAGAGGAAAGTTAGATTGGCTCGTGAAAAGGAAGCACTCCAGAGTGGCTCTATCTCTGAATTATGCAAATTCACTGCATATTAAAATGTCCTCTCAAACACGTAATGGGTTCTGTAACGAGCAAGTCAAGGAAGTGGTCAACTTTAATTGGCACATCGCGATTGTGCCCTTGCATGGGAGCAGATTTCAATATAGAGTTATGAAACATACCGATACTTACTTGGCGGGTGAGTATCAGTGAGTATCGAGCTAACAAGTTCATCTTCAGTGTAATGACTACGCCATACCTTTAAAACGGGAACTTTTGTTTAAATGCTGTAGAATCGGTAGGTTCCAAATCTTTACCGATGCATATCCCATGGAGAACACTCCTCGTTGTTGTATTGTTCTAAACCTTCAATGCGCTTCTCTTCCCCGTGTTTTTTCGAGTATTTTCTGTCGGTCTAAATAGTTGAGCATCTGGGGAAACGTGCGGAGAAGAAAACACACACAATCTTCTTCTGGGAAGCCATCCCCCCTTTTCAGTAGCTATTATGTACAGCTTGCGGAAAACTGAGGTCTGAAAAGTGAGTGTATAAAAGCGTTTTTTACAAAAATTTCCGGCACCCCTAAATTCTTATCCACGCAATAATGGCGAATCTTTTTTCTCAAGTGAAGGCTGTAATAGGTAATATTTTAGTACTTTATCTGCACTTTAAAACTCTTACCATAAACTTTCTAAGTCGTTCACTTTAGCCGTTCGTTTACTTTAACCGTTTTAAAACGAAAAGCTATCACTGCACAGTTATTTTTCCGGTTGTATTCCTTCAAACTTCTCCCCCCTTCCCCCAAGAGAAAATCTCAAAAAGAACTTGACATTTCAACCTTAATATACATACTCCCAGATAGTATACTTATTTCTACCAATATATACATGCCTTTGAATTGAATGCGTCCTGTGTTACTCCAAATACTTTTGCCCAACCTAACAAGGAAGGTCTTTCAGGGCGTGGGACGCTTTTTGAAAATGGTTTTTTGCATGGTATAGGGGCATGAGCACTGAGTATAAAACTATGATCCATTT